TTATGCAGAAATCGTAACTGCCTTAGACATGATATTTTCTTCGAAATTAAAACGCGTATATAACCAACCACTCTAAAACTCACAACTCGGCGTACCTCCAATATGGCCGCACATCCGGGAACTCTTACCGATAATGACGTCAGTGAAAACACTCTATAAACTCATTATCATATACACAAACAGATGAATAATGTGACGTAAGGAGGGAATCCACACACACACATGTATATATATATGTGTGTGTGTGTGTGTGTGTGCGTGTGTGTGCACGCTGTAAAACTTCCTACTCACGAGAGTGATATCGTCATCGCTCATGCAATTTGCAACTTCAAGTTCACACGCGTTGCCATACGTGTTGCCATCAGAGCCGCACACGGGGTCATAGTTGGCAGTGCAGACGATGTCGCAGGGACCGTCCCTCGCCTTGCATTCTCCTGGGTACGCCTGGGGCACAGGGGATAAGGACAAGCATCATCAATAATAATAACAACTAGAAAAGCATTCAGAGAGTGCAGACCTCCGCCAAGGTGCGTATATAATATATATACTTTGGTTGAGGATGAAAAGGATCAGACAGCTCGGAGTTTCTTCAAAAAAGAAAAAAAAGGCCCTCATACACAATTAAAAGGCAACAGTTTGCTTTTAATTGTGTATGAGGGCCCTTTTGTCTCAAACATTTTTACGGGAAAATAAATATCAGTGCTTTTTTAAATATTCTGGATGTGTGTGTGTGTGCGTGAGTGTGTGTGTTGTGTGTGTGTATGTGTATGTGTGTGTGTGTGTGTCTGTGTTTTGTATGCCACGCGGGACGCGGCCAAGTCTAGGAACACCATAATCATTGTTCGGATGTACTTCCACCGCTGCTGCATCCAGATGGTGATTGTGGTTTTTTATGAGTGTGACATGCGGGACGCTGCCAAGTCTAATTAAGAACATCATAATTATCGCTCGGATGTACTTGCACCGCTACTGCATCCACAGTGACACCCGGGACACGGCCAAGTCCAAAAATATCATGATTATTTTTCGGATGTACTTACACCGCTGCTGCGTCCAGACGGTAATTCGGAATGTCACCAAAATTTAATCAGTTCTAAGTTAGTCCCTTTCGATGAAATCCGGCCAGCACTTTTTGAGCTACGCTGCTAACAAACCAACAAACCAACGCCGTCAAAAACATAACCTCCTTGGCGGAGGTAATAATAATAATAATGATAATAGTAATGATAATAATATTGTTATTGTTATTGTTATTATTGTTATTATTATTATCATTGTTATCATTATTATCATTGTTATCATTGTTATCATTATTATTATTGTTATTATTATTAATGCTGTTGTTGTTATCGTTATTATGAGAATTGATGGAAAGACAGCAGGGGAAAATCAAAGACTGATATAGAACATGAATATGGAAAAAAGAAGAAAAGGAAGGATAAGAAATTTTTAAAATTTGCATAAGAATAGGAATCTGTTAATTTTAGTTTTAAATTTATGAACAGCAACTTCGGAAACAATATCGTAAATAAAGATAAGGATAAGGATGATAAATCTAAACAGGAATTTTTTTTCTGGGGGGGGGGGGGGGCGGGTTCGTGTTGTTGAATTATTAGCGGATGTTGTGAATTTCTTTCTTTTTTGTTGTTGTTTGTGGCTATTTATCTATTTGATTGTCTGTCTATCTACGTGTCTATCTGTCAGTCAGTCCGTCAGCCTATATAACCAAAGTAATTGTACCACAAAACTGTACTTTTATCTTGTTTACAGTTTGTTCGATACCAATTCCCTTAAATATGAGAAACGCATATAGTAGTAAACTGAAAAAAATAGTTATTTCATATATACAGTAAAACCTGAGAAAACCAAACACCCATAGGACTGTAAAAAATGTCCGGTTTGAACAGTGATCCGGTTTGGAGAGGGTGGGCTTTTAACACAGGCCGCCGATTGAAATGGGAAGGGACTGAGAATATCGTCCGGAATGGACAGTGATCCGGTTTTCTCAGGGTCCGGTTTTCTCAGGTTTTACTGTATGTATATATATACTAATTGAATATGCATAATTCACCATCTCTTAACATGTATCAGGTTGGCTTTATCATTTCGACGATGTATTTCACCGTTTTATCAAAAGATCTATAGTTTCATCAATACATCTATCCTTCCATTAACATAATACCCGTATCATCAACATCATATATCTTCTCTATAATCTATTTACTACATCCATTTGTCTATGCAGCTGCAGTTTCATCAAAATATCTATCGTTTCAACAACAAATCTATCTATCAATAGATCTATCGTCTCATTAATATGCTAAACATTTCATCAGTAGATCTATCTCTTCATTAACACAAAATCATTTATCCTCTCACTGATCTCTTCAACTAACCCACTTAACTACCGAAACTCTCTAATTAACTACCGAGGCTACCTCTTTTTTTACCGAAACTCTCTCATAAACTACCGAAACTCTCTAATTAACCCATTGGTGCC